CCCCCCCCCCCCCCCAATAAGTCTTAAACTACTCTGTTGGCTTACAAGATAAAATTGCGTTTTAAATTGTTTTTCAATAATTAAATCACTATACATATGCAACATTATGCCTGTAAATAATATTTTAGAATGTTTGAAGGAAAATATTATTGCTTCTTTTTCTTACTTTTAACTATTTAATTAAATTCACTTTCTTTGCCAGGAAAACTTAAACTACTCATATAAATAGTAACTCCTCAAAATGCCAGACTATATTATTCAGCTTTCTATAGACTGCTAGTCAAGTTAAGACAAACTGTAAATCAATAAATCAGACTAGACATCAGATCATTATTACTTTTACTAGACGGTTAAAGGTGTAGCGTTGTTAGTTTACGCGAAGGTACTGCCATAATTTGCTCTCTTACAAGATATTTTACTATTTGGCCTACATCAGACAGTCAGTAATTGGGTCTCGCATAAGAATGAAAAGTCTGCTCTTCTGTGCATGATATATGACTACTGGGCTTCTAACTAGCATTCTGGAAAAAATCCTTTTTTACAAGGGCCTGTGGTACCCAGTCGATGCACAATACACTGTGGTTAAAGGTATTGAAAATAAGGGATTATTAAAAGATAAATTGATTGAATTTAACTTTGATAAAAATGTGAATAGGTATCATACTTCTGAATAGAATTCATACGCTTTCTCTCGCGTTCAGTTATTGATTATTGGTTTTCAAAGCGCAGACTTAGAGCTGGAATCGAGCTAATGATGCATTTAAAAGCTATCCAGACAGTTAAATAGTTTTTGGCTATCTACCTAGCCTAATGGGGAATTTCGAGTTTTTCTATGCCGATGAAACTCATGACAGTAATGACAGTTTGATTACAACAGTAAACAAGTCTCTTACCGTGATAGCAGTCGTTTATATATCGATGATGACTTAGCATTTTAACGACCATTACTTTAACTAGAAGTATTAATAGTCTTTCGATAAATTATTTATAATTTTTACTTATTTAAGCATCCTATTTCCAATAATAGAAAAGTAAAACAGATAAAAACGTGGAGTAAAGAGAGGATCAAAAAGAGTCTTCCTTTGTTTGTATTTTGCCCAATATTTACTAGATGTATAAATCGCGTTCCAACATTAAAATTGCACATTTCGTGACCTGAATTGTAGTAAAAGCTTTTCTGCGGTAAGTAGTGCCTATTGGCCTACAGATAATACCATTGATGCAACATATTTGAACATCAATATTTTAAATTTGTTTGTCCATTTTATAGGGCATGGAACCTAATGAAAAAACCTCGCTCTATCGAATGATCCAGGGTACCCAAGTACCAGGAAAAATTGTGTTTGTGGATAATAACTTTGAGCGGCAAAACATGACTGAAGGACCAATCTCAGAAACCCTTGCTCTTAGTCCTATTGGTAAATGAAATTTGATGAAATAACAACTAGATTTAATGATAACCATGCCACAGCCAATTAATTGAATATCCTTTCAGTTAGTATCAATTTAAGTCCATTTCAGAGTCAAGTAGAGTGTGATTATTAGTATTTGTAAATTAAAGACTGATAATAAGTGAATATTCTGAACTGGTCGATGATTGATTGTCAATCTTATTCACTAAGCGAGTACTAAAAATTACATTAATTCTGCTGGTCTTAAGCCTGTCAATCATTTAAACTGCATTCTTTAAGCCTTTTAATTTTCCTATTTAAGATTGCCTGCAATATTGTAGGTTTAGTCTTAGAAATAGACACCATATGCCATTAGGGCCCCAAGTGTTCTAGCAACTGAAATTAGATATTTTCGGTGCACAAAAACAGAATTTGTGAGGTTCTTTAATCTTACGTCGGTTCATCGATTATCACCAACCCATTTCAAGCGTAGGAATAAAATCTTCCGACTTCTTCATTACCAGCTAACTGAAAAATCAACAATCTCCCAAATGACCGGTTTGCACAAGTGCTTTGTTAACCTGAGCGCAATAGCTTCCTTGATTTATGGGACTCCAGCATTCGTCTTGCCAAGTAATCACAATATTAACCTCATGGAGCCGGTTTGTCTTAAAGTATCCTGGAGATATGCGGCTTCTTTACACCAATCATTAGTATGCTGTATCCTTTCCAACTGTTTTGGCAAGCATACTCAGTATTCTTGAAGGCGTGGTAAAGCAAATAATTTACATCTCAATGGGGACTTATTATGCCGTCAGAAATTGAGATTCGGGATAGCACCTCAATATGATTAAGTTTGCAGTTTAAATTACTGTCGATGTAAAATTACATCACTCGATCGACTAGCCTAAATGCCCGCTTGAGGTTCCACGAATCCACTAAATGGAGTTTGCACTGAATAAATCTGGCAATCAGATGGAGAAAATTGAATTAAATATTTCAGTATAGTAACTTAACATGCCTGAGAGGAAAGTCAAAAGGTGTGTCTAGACAGGAACAATGTTTATGTTAATACAACGCTTAGGTTGGAAGCACAAACAGACGTAAATAAAATAATCAATTTCGTGCGTACTCGCCTACGTGTGCCAATAGACTCTTTGGATATTAGGTAAAAATATGTGCATTTTAGCCTTGGGAGCTGATACGTGAACGCAAAAAATCAGAAAATGTGACAGAATATTAAAATAGTCCACCAAGTAATCCATAATTAATTTTTACTGTTAGCAGACTTCTGATACAATCCGTCCTATTATTTATTGTCCTTCGTTAATTAATAATTAACTGAAAAATTTTTTCCCAAAATCAAATGCCTTCCTATAATAACTGAAAAATGAGTGTGAAATTTATTTCTGATACCTTATAATTTATTTATTGCTTTACCATGGTTTTCCCAGGTTACTTATTGATTTCTTCAGTCCACCTACTGGTTAATTTTCCCTGCTTACCAAACACGTTACTACTGGGGAATTTAAGTAGTATAAGCTAAAAACATCAGTTCATACGATACATGCCATATGGATGTACTATTGATCAGTACGAAACTAGGAGATGCGGTGTATTTGATCTCACTTGTATGTTGCTTGATAAGGAAGCAGTTCATTTGGCAAGATGATTGTAACATTTACATGTTTTTAATTCAGCATTTTATCCATCATATCTAATAAATTGATTATTCAGCCATGCTGTGATGTGAGATAATTGCCATATCTTTCCTACGTTGGTCAATTCGAAACTATATATGAACACATCGATTCAAATATAGGCTGAGATTAAATATCACACAAAAATAATTTTACGGTCATTCACTTGTGCCTAATGGACAACCTATTACAAAGTTCTTGAAGAACGTCAAAAGTTGCTTTTTGTTTCTTTCAGTTGAAAACAAACGTAATGCGGCAACAATGCAGGAGTATAGTCTACGCAGAGGTATGAGTGCTAGTACTGCAGTTCTACCAAACTTGGAATCTGTCTACATCACTGGTCCAGGGGGACCAGAAGACCCCATGGGGACAACCGAATATAACGAAATGGTGACTCGCTCAGCTTTTAATTTCCCACAATCCGTATCTCAGGGTGCAGAAGTGCCTCAACCCATGTTTGGTACACTTGTTGGACCAAAAGGCGCAACCAAGACAATCAACCTCAACCAGCATGGTGATTATGACTCAGCTACTTTCCAAAGGCGTTGCACCAGTATGAAATCCAATCCCGGCTTCGTACCCAACCCTTATAGATATATACATCAACCCTATGTATACACTCCTATTGTTGGCAGTTCACCTAGTCATGTCATTCAGTACAGAGGTATTCCTGATGCAAACAATGCCGAAGGTACACCATATTCTCCCCATACGGTTCAGCATCGACAACCATATGTCTTTGCTGATGAGAGACATACTTATCACGATCTCGATATTCTTGCGGCGACACTCCAACGTCAACGAAGACCCGTGGAACATTTTGTGGAAATTGCCCCTCCACAGAACATTTCAAGCGCACCTTACGGAAGACTACGGCAGCCGATGAGTAGTTATACCATTGCGACCCCAAATAATCGATATGCAACATTGAATACTAGAATGGCCCCTGATGGAGAGGTAACTTCTATGATGGAACCGCTTGGAATGATGAAACGAGTCAGGGTACCAATTGTTGAAAGAGATGACAGCGGTACACTGAATGAAGGCGAAAGTGAGGATTTCGATCGACAGGATAGCCCGAATTCTCTTAGCGAGGCATTTGTGGAAGAGGATTTTGAGGAAGAAAATAGGAGCAGGGAAGAAGAGGAGCCTGAATCGATCACTGATCCAAATGCGAAATTAATTGTCTCAGAGGATGAGCAGACCCTCAAAAGAATATGTGAAGCAAAGCAGCTTCAGTCGCCTCCTAGTCATCACCAGGAATCAGAAAGCCAAGCAACAGAAGAGATCCTCGTCGCATCAGGACATCCAAGTTCTACAAATGAAGAATCCCAGCAGACACCCCAACCATCCCAACTTCCCTTAACCTATACAGTCCATGAGGCGAGTTTTGTTTGAAAATAGCCCCTTTCTTTTCATCCCGAGTGACATTTTAACCTTACCTCTAGTCTCTTGTAACGATCACCGCTGAGCTTGACTTACACCCTTTTTTATTTATAATGTTCTACCTCCTTTAATTTCAAGAAATAAATGCATTCGAGGTTATAAAAGACCTCCTTTGTGAATTTAAACTGGAAATGCTACTTATGATTTGTAAGTATACACATATTTATTAAAAGCGTCACCGACATTACAAAACTTTGGAAACCAATGGCCAACAAGGTATGTATAGTATTTATTTATTTCAAATGGTAGGCGTTTTGATTGTTATCATTAGCCCTTTAGCTGACTTCGGGCTTTACAGGGGGAAGGAACATCAAAGTAACAGAATGTCGAGGGATGGGGAACAGAAGAGTGGTTTACAGTTGTAAAAGAGACAGACACAAAGGCAGAGAAAAGGTAGGATGATTACTGTGGAAGTGGTAGAATATGGCATCCAATGGGGTTGTGGTAGTTTGAAGTCAGAAGTCAACTGCCGGTTAATAGACTTTTTTGCCGTATGAGTATACGTTGCCCAGGGTGCACCACGTGGAGGTAAGTCTATTGCTCACCCCATTTTTTTCTCATTGTGACCTCATAATCGAAAATGCGAAAGCAATGCTTTAAATCTTCGGATAAGATTGAAAGTTTTGCTTCTACGCTTTGATTTAGTTATGCTATTATTGCCGTAGTGGCTTTTCGGCAGTGAAAATGTTTAAATACATCAATCATGAATGATTAAAAAAAGATGATCGTGTTTAGTCTCTTTCATTGGCCTTATTGGAAGGGGATACATCAGTTGTTAATAGAGGGAACGTCTAATTTAACATTGTTTAAAGCGAGCTCACTTTGTTCTCATAACGAGCGCAGTTTTAACTATACCTGTTTTTTTGCTCCTGTAGCTTACTTGCCTTCGTCTAATCGAAGGTGTGTCTTCTAGCGCACTTGTGCCCTATGCGGCATCACTGGCTCAGCTCTGCATCGCTTTGCTCACTTTCGATGAGTCGGATATCCTCTCCATGACTGTGGACTCCGAGGAATCAGAAGGCGTACCCGTGGCACCTCCTTATCTCTTCCATTCCACAGACCCACCCGCTCGGTTAGAATATCTCCTTTCACTTCTCGCTCATTGGCTATCCCGAAGGATACTTTTGTTGGCTTCCGAGCAACCTGACAACGATTTTGAAAAGCTTCTGAAGGTGAGTAGTGTGCTTTAAATCTATGAGCATTAGCCATTGACCTATTGTTTGGAAATTTAAATGTGCATCATTGTTCATTAAAAAACTTCCATTATGCAGCACAGTTACTTTGTCCTGTTATTAATTGGAGTATTTTTTTGTATTAGTGTGCCAGGCGTAAAACCTGGAATGGTCAAATCATGATCCCCAATTTGCTAACTTACTGATCTCAATGTCCTTGAAGTTAGAAGTAATGAATTGGCGTTGAATATGTCTATTCTGTCTCCATGTTTTATGACTCACGTTTTACATAGTTATAACAGGAGGGGGGGGGGGGATTTCATAGCCACTATATCTCTATCCTTACCGCATCAGATTATGGGCAGATGTCTTTTTAGGCCAGCACTTCTCATCACTTTGCTCTCCTTAATGATGAGTTGATTTTATGTATTTTTTTATCTCAAATGGCAGGCGTTTTGATAGTCTTCATTAGCTATTTAGCTGAGATCGGGCTTCACAGAGAGGAGGAGGAACATCAAAGTGGCAAAATGTCGAGAATGGGGNTTGTTTGAAAATAGCCCCTTTCTTTTCATCCCGAGTGACATTTTAACCTTACCTCTAGTCTCTTGTAACGATCACCGCTGAGCTTGACTTACACCCTTTTTTATTTATAATGTTCTACCTCCTTTAATTTCAAGAAATAAATGCATTCGAGGTTATAAAAGACCTCCTTTGTGAATTTAAACTGGAAATGCTACTTATGATTTGTAAGTATACACATATTTATTAAAAGCGTCACCGACATTACAAAACTTTGGAAACCAATGGCCAACAAGGTATGTATAGTATTTATTTATTTCAAATGGTAGGCGTTTTGATTGTTATCATTAGCCCTTTAGCTGACTTCGGGCTTTACAGGGGGAAGGAACATCAAAGTAACAGAATGTCGAGGGATGGGGAACAGAAGAGTGGTTTACAGTTGTAAAAGAGACAGACACAAAGGCAGAGAAAAGGTAGGATGATTACTGTGGAAGTGGTAGAATATGGCATCCAATGGGGTTGTGGTAGTTTGAAGTCAGAAGTCAACTGCCGGTTAATAGACTTTTTTGCTGTATGAGTATGCGTTGCCCAGGGTGTACCACGTGGAGGTAAGTCTATCGCACACTCCAGGTATGTATATTAGTCTACAACAGACTCCTAGAATCTTATGCATAGACATCAGTTTGAATCCCAACAATCAGAATGGTGACTGGGACCTTTCATAATCACTGCTCTTTACGATCGCAGCAGAAAGGTAAGCATTAAGGAAAAATTATTTTTAAGAGCATTCGAGGGTAGACTGAAATTGGGTATGCATGACCATCTTAGGAGAACTGCAGATATTGGCTAGCGAGATAACCAATTAATTATTATTATTATTATTATATGCATATTGGTGAATAAATCTTCTTAAGACGATCACGTTTTGTTGCTTAGAAACAGTTGTGTTTTTTATGAGACACAATCTGTGGGGAGCTTTGAATTTTCAGCCAGATTTGTAGCGGGTCTGCTACACTTATAAGCTTCGACTATACTCAGAAATCTCTATGGCAGATTTTCCTTGTCGGAATGGCTATCGTGATGACGTGTTTCAAACGAAATGTTTATTGCAAATTATACGATATCGGCAAACATGATTAGTTATCGAATAAATTAGGCATAATTTGCGTGAACACTAACAGCAAAATATCTGAACAGTGCTCTGCACGTACGGCCGCACACTCCAAAATGTTTGGGTGCGCATTTCACAGTGGGAGGATTGCGTACGCCACAGACTTGACCCCGGTTAATTCGTGACAACGTAAAAGTTTGTTGTTCATCGATGGTATTTTAATCCACCCACTGGAATATTTGCTTTCCACGTAAAAATTGAGTAAACATATTAAAACCAGACATTTATTTTTGCAAATAATGTTTAAAATAATAAATTTGACATTAAAATCATCAAAAACCTGCCTTGAAGCCTTGGCTAAGCACAAGCAATCTTTTCTGCCAAAATCCACAGGTGTAAAATTTCTCGAAATTTGCTTAGACACCCGAGCACTATCAAGGAAACAGAAAGTATGGTGTGAATAGCGCTTACTCAGGTTATGCGTCACTGATAGAGGTTTTGCATTTAAGTGCAATTTTAGTTATTCATACCACGCAATGAATATTGGGGTCGTTAAATGGCTGAAAGGCCTCTCAACTCACACCTACAGCACTGCCGCACTTGAACACCATGAGATCGGTGGCTCGTACACTTTCCAGACTGTTCGAGCACACACGGGATTCCTTGATTCAATCGCGTTAGTGCTGTGCTCAACACAAACCAAGACATTCACTATTGGCCGCTATTAAACCTTATAATATACAAGGTCAAACAAGAAGCAAGTATGAACTTGTTATAAGAGATAAGTTAACTTTCAAATATTGTAAAAGGCAGACAGTCACACACTCGCATTACTTTATCTGCACAGCTGAATAAACATATTGAATGCTATGATCCAAGTTATTGGAAGATTTATAAGTATAATTTGATTATTTTCGCCTAAAACTGGCCTATATTTTTACAACAAGGAGTTGGCGAAATATATCGGCATGAGCTTTTCATGATTACTCCATTTCGAGGCCTTACAATTGACAAGACTATTTTATTTAATGTGCATAACGGGGAGAATGTGAAATCCTGTTATTAGTATTGCAAATTATTATCCTGTCTTCATCGACCTACTAAATGATAATGCTCATAAATCGAGAGATAATGAACGAAGGTGAAAATTCGGATGTCAAGTTTTTGATGATCAATCAGTGAAATGGATTAGCATGATGACAAGGATTTTTGACCAACTTAGGTCGAAATACAAATTTCTCACAAACATGGAAGTGTAGTATTGTGCATCCAATTTGTCTCTTAAATTGACAGAATTGTAATATTTATTTACTTATTTATATCAAATAGCAGGTGTTTTGATAGTTATCATTGGCCATTTAGCTGACTTCGGGCTTCATAGAGAGGAGGGAACATTAAAGTGACAAAGTCGAGAGGGGTGACAGAATACTGATGCACAGATGTAAAAGAGACAGACATAAAACGAGTACTGTTGAAGTGGTCGAATTCGACATACAGTGGGGTCGTGGTAGTTTGATGTCAGAAGTCAACTGCTGGTTTATGGACTTTTCTGCCGTATGAGTATACGTTGCCCAGGTAAGTCTATCGCAC